AAAGAGACAATGAAGGGGGATTACTAATACTTTTTCTCCTTAGAATCAGAATAAGAGACCAAATGGAGAGATATTGATAATTGGCACCTATGAAATGGATAAACCTTGAAGCAATATGACCACGACTCATCAAGCTTTGGCAATAGTTGGAACTAGAATGGTGAATAGAAAAATTTTGAGAGGAAAGAAAGTTTGATAACAACAATGAGTGGTGCTTTCATTGACACCTATATATAGACATTTCAATAACCCTTCAAATGCCTCACCCATTAATGAAAGGTTACTATCCCAAAAAATGAAAAGTTACCTTTTAAAAATCCAATTGTACTGAAGAAACATGAAGGGACATGTTGTTAATCATTGTGTCTCTTGGTATCTGTAACATTTAATAAGTTGTAATAAATCTCTTAGTGTCCGTAGAACTAAATAGGGTATAATTTCTAATAAATCTAATTATATGAGTCTTTTTATTAACTTTTTTCACTCATACATCGCTCAGAGCTCGAGCGACTTATGTACTAGTCTCGTTCATAAAATGATCGAGCTCAATTTGACTAAGCCAGAAAAGGATATTGGGTACGAATCTCGGTATGGTAAGATCGAGTTCACATTATAACGTTGGATGCGAACTTATCTCGGCATGCCAAAACCGAGTTTAGATCCCAACATCAAGTAATTAACTTAATCGTAATCATGACAATTATACAAGAAAAGAAAACAGATGATAATAGAAAAGGATAGGTAAATATATGTTTTGTTGGATAATATTAGATGACTAACTTGATCTTTAAAGTCCTTTTTATAAGTATTCCGACTATCTCTGGAGGAGGAAGAAATCAATCCGATTTGAGAGAATAACTTCAAGAGCTAATCTCATTGCATGAATCTCATCATCTAACATTGTTCTAGTAATAACAATCTGTAATATAATTATGTAAAGATGTTTCAATAGAAAACAAATCATCCAATTAAATTCCAATTCATGTTTTATCAAATTAGATTACATCATGTTAGATTGAACTTTTTTTTTTTTTTACAAAACCAATTCAAATCGATGCAACAAGAAAATTGTTTTAATTTGAAAACTAATTTAAACAACTTTTCTCAATCATCAACAAGTCATTGGTAAAAGTGAAATGAAATTCGATTTTTTTTAAAAATATTTTAAATTTAAATATATACGTAAAAAATATAATTAAAAAAGAGAGCCTATATTCAAAATTGCTAATCAAATTCATTAACAAGAATAATCATTATTAAGATATTAACAGATGCTAACACTTAACACTAACAATATAGTTAATAAATAAATAAACACACACACACACACCCATGCCACGTGTCAGTCCCAATAAAAATCAAATCTCTGAAGGTCAAATTCAGTTTCCTTAATTAACTACCATCATTAAAAAAATGGGAAAAAAAAAAAAAAAAGTAAGTCAAATCCTTACGAGCCACTACAATTTCGTTCCTTCCAATGATCCCCGAGTTCCAGTACAATTTTCTCCATTCTCCCATTCCTCCACTCTCCCATTCCATTCTCCCTTCCCAAAACGCAACGAAACGCAATGGCCAGAAGATCCCTACCCCTCCTCAGGCACCTCCTGGCGCGATCCACGCCGCGCCGCATCCAAACCCGATCCGTTACGTACATGCACCGGCCGGGCGACGGGACGCCGCGCGCGGTGACGCTGATCCCGGGCGACGGAATCGGGCCGCTGGTGACGGGCGCGGTGGAGCAGGTGATGGCGGCGATGCAGGCGCCGGTGTTCTTCGAGAAGTTCGAGGTCCACGGGAACATGAAGGCGATGCCGCAGAAAGTGATGGACTCCATCCGGCGCAACAAGGTGTGCCTGAAGGGCGGCCTCGTGACCCCCATGGGCGGCGGCGTTAGTTCCCTGAATGTGCAGCTGCGGAAGGAGCTCGATCTCTACGCCTCCCTCGTTAACTGCATCAACCTCCCTGGATTGCGCACGCGCCACGACAACGTCGACATCGTCGTCATCAGGGAGAACACTGAGGGCGAGTACTCCGGCCTCGAACACGAGGTCATTCCCGGCGTCGTCGAAAGCCTTAAGGTTCCACTCCCTTCATGCATTATTATTCAATTTCTTTGCTATCATCATCATCGTCCTTTTTTCTATCACACTAGCAGAATTTGCCCTACGCATTTTATTTTCCTTTTTCTAATATTTTTTTTTATCACATCTTTAACCATACATAAAACTATAACAGACATTTTATGTTTCCCATCTTATCCTTTATTATTACATGCAAATAGATTCTATTTTTTAATATAAAGGGTCAAAATAATCATGATTCATATCGGTGTCAACTATTATATATATAACTATAAAAGTTATGATAGTCAGTGATTATAGAAGCATGAAGGAACTCAACCATGCTAGATTTAATAATTATAATCTTTGATGGTGCTAGTCCAATTACAGATCGCTTTCACGGGAATAAATTTATTATATTTTATAATAATCAAACTTAAAATTAATGTTAACGTCATTTTCTTTTTAGTTGAACAAATGATCCATAAATTTGATGATTTTATAATAATTAATTTAAAAGTTATACCGACAAGGATGGATTATGCATAACATTTAATAGGGGTGTAAAACAGTGTGGGTTTGGATAAATCTGTTATCTAACGTGATCAAAATTTAATAGGTTAGATTGGATTGAATTTGTGCAATTTCTTTTATAAAACTCAATCTAACCCAACTCAATCACGAACGGGTTGAATTGAGTTAATCAGATCAACATAATTATATTTATTTATTTTTTGTAAAAGTTTAAATATTTCAAAATAAATATAAATTATTTAATATATTGTTGCAAATTTTATGTTATCAACATATAAAGCAAATAATGATGCAAATTAAATTTTAAAATAAATTTATTAATTTGTTACATTATTATTAACTCAAAAAACCAACATTAATTAATACAAAATAAAATTTAAAATAAATATATTATATTGTTATAATGTTATCAACCTAAAACACAAAATTTATTACTAAATAAGAGTGACAATGAGTATTATTTTAAGCAAGTGATCATTCAAACATTATTATTATAATTATTATTATTGTTATTATTATTATTATAATATAATAATCATAATAATAATAATAATAATATATGATCGGGTTGGGTCGGATCAATAATGGGTTAAAAATACAAAGTCCATTATTCGACTCATACAGTACCGATTTTTGATCGGGTTGGATTGGGTCTAATCCAAACACTAAAAAAATCCGATCCAAACTCATTAAGTTAGTTTGGGTTAGTTCGAATTCACAGATTACTCGTATCTGCTTACACCCCTAACATTTAAACTCATTGTTAAGTGAACACAACAAAATAAATCAAAGCATAAATAATTCATGAGACAAAGTTAAAATTAGTTTATGCAATTTAATAATAATTTTATAAGAGGTCTATAAACTTGTAAAAGTATTTTTGTAAGTTAAATATTGAGTGTGTTAGAATAAATTTCTTCATAAAAACTTTTTAAAGAATAAATAAGAAAAAAGATGAACTAAGTTTTTTCACAAGGTAAAAGTCACTTATATATAAATTAAAAAACATATTTTGGAGAAGTTAATGCAATACAATATATACAAATTAACTTATGTATAAATTAATTTTAGTTCTTGTAAAAAGTTATTATCTTTTTCTCTTTTATTTTCTTTTTCTATAAGTACGAAGAAATTTATCTAAATCTCAATTGAAAAGCTCTTTTAAGCTAGAAACTAACCCAAATTAGGCCTCAGTTGTGATATGATTACTTAAGTAGGTGTTTGAATTTATTTTTGAGGAATAATTGTTATTATTACAGTTTTTAAGATACTTTTTTAATGTAAAAACTATTATTATGTAAAATTTAGTGTGTATTTGATTCACCTTTTAGATAAATAATTACTTTTTTTTTTACTACTTTTTTAGACAACTTAAAAAAAAAAAAAAAAAAAAAAAAAAAAAAATTTTTTTTTTTTTTTTTTTTTTTTTTTAAAAAAAAAAAAAAAAAAAAAAAAAAAAAAACTGTTTTTTGTGTTTTGTTTTTCTATTTGGAAATGTTATCAAAACGTGTCTTCTCATGATAAGAAAAGAAATTGAACATATTTGATATTCCTGTATTTTATGATTGCTGCTTGAGGGCTATTTATTCAGTGGCAAAGTTATTTTTACTTGGAATATATCTCATCAAGTCATTACCTTGATGGCTTGATCATATCTGATGCACTATGGGTTTGTTTTTGCTGTTGATCCTAATATTTTGCTAGGTAATAACGAAGTTCTGTTCAGAGCGTATTGCTAATTATGCATTTGAGTATGCTTACCTAAACAACAGAAAGAAGGTGACTGCCGTGCACAAAGCAAACATTATGAAGCTTGCAGATGGTTTATTTTTGGAATCTTGTCGAGAGGTTGCCAAAAAGTACACTGGAATCAAGTATAACGAAATTATTGTAGATAATTGTTGCATGCAGCTTGTTTCAAAGCCTGAGCAGTTTGATGTCATGGTATGTATCTTTACAACCAATCCTGGTTTGTGGCTATTTTTGCACTTCAACAATTTTAATATATTTATGGAGTAAACACAGAGGTCTAGGCATTTTTTTTGCAAGGTTGTTTAAACTTTGTGCCATCAGATTATTGGTGAAAAAAACAATTAAATTTTGAACTCATTGGTGTTTCCAGATGTTCTTTAGAAGATTGGTGCATTGTGTTTGTCTTTTTTATATGTATATATACATCCATAATTTGTACAAGAGAAATTAGTTGAGAAATGAGTAGTTTCAAAAGAGACATTCAAAATTTATAGCAAAAGCCAAGTTACTTGGGATAATCATGTTCCAATTTTTCTATAAGCTTTTCACCATTGGTTCGATCAAAAATATTTTCATGTTACATAATTAAAAAAAAAAAGGCAAGGATTGAGACGTATCCATATTTGTCTTTTATGTTCATTTAAGATTGTTGGCTTTGGGAAAAAGGAAATAAAGAGTATCACGTTTGCATTGTCTTGGAAATATTGATAGCATCTTTGTTAACCTTTCTGTCAGAGGATTAGTATGATTAACTCTGGTTATCATTTTCTTGCTACTCGAAGAGGATGGATGTCTAATTTAAACATTGAGATACATGTAATGGGATCAGGGTTTGAATAGCCCTATTTTGCTATCTTGGAAAAAAGAAAATTTGCGTGTTCATCTCCACGGAAACAACAGTTGTCTCTGTGGTGATCAATGGATAAAGTAAGGATTTGTGATGATTAATGTTATGACACTCTATAATGGAGTTTGAAGGAAATAAAAGGTAGAGGGGGAGGATCTTCTGTTCTTCATTCAACCATATAATCATTTTTTGTTTCTTCTGAATGTTCAAATAGAAAATAATCCTCCAATCCCCTTCTCATTGCACTCTGTCCCAAACACATCAAGGGGGAACGGGGATGTGGTTGTACCTTGTACGATTCTAAATGGATATATAAATTTTTTATTGAATTACTCAGTTGGTTCTTGTACCGACACAACTTTTACGTTTTAGTTCGTACACATAAAAACTACTTATTTTAATCTCTGTACATACACTTTTTAATCCATTCTCTGTTGGTGCAAGTGAGAATCATTGCATTGGGATACTCAATAAACTCGGGTCTTGATAGTTCTGACTTGCAAAGCACTGATCTTCTTAATTTGTTTACATCAAATAGAAGGGCTTTTGAAGTTCATGCGTATTGTTTCCTCTTGCTAGGTGACCCCAAATCTTTATGGAAATCTAATTGCTAATACTGCGGCAGGCATTGCTGGAGGCACTGGAGTCATGCCAGGAGGTACGGTTGTTAGTTACTACGGTATTATAATTTTATTTCTCTCATCTGATTATGTTGCCTTTTTAAATACTTCCATGCTTGTTTCATTTCTTCCTTGATATCAATTGTTTAACTAATGTTCGGAACTTGAAAAGGCTAGGCACCGATCGAGTTTAATTGTGTTCTTGACTAGCTTATGATTATGAATCTAAGGAACATTTATACTCATTGAAAAACTTCGCAAATAAATGCATCTTTTTGCATTAGACTCTGATAATATAGGACTTGTATCAACGAGGATGTACATTTTTATGTAATAATATTGGGAAGTACTACAGATGACAACTTTCATTGACTCATTTAGAAGCTAGTGAATGAAGATGTTAGTGTCTATGATGGTACTGTAAGATCAAGATGATTTTAATGTTGTGGTGATGATTAACAGAAAGGGCTAAAATAGTAGGATGAAATTTATGCTAGGGAGTGTGAAAGGACTTTTGGGGATAAGGGATTGTTGAGAAAAATCATTCTCCGTAATAAAATTACTTCTTTTGCTTGACAAGTAGAAGCCGTGGATGTCATTTTTGCAGGTAATGTTGGGGCTGAGCATGCAGTGTTTGAGCAAGGTGCCTCGGCAGGAAATGTTGGCAATGATAAAATATTGGAACAAAAAACTGCCAATCCAGTGGCGCTTCTTATGTCATCAGCTATGATGCTTAGGCATCTTCAGTTTCCTGCATTTGCTGACCGCTTGGAAACTGCTGTGGAACAAGTCATTTTGGAGGGCAAATATCGAACAAAGGATCTTGGAGGGACAAGCACCACCCAAGAAATTGTGGATGCAGTCATAGATGCTTTAGATTGAGTCATTTTAGTTGCTGATTTCCCAAATGAAGTCAGCCTCATATTCTTTTCTAACTAATTTCACCAGCATTGTTTTGCACCCATAAATGAAAAATAGAAATTTTGGTCCTGAATAAAGTTTATGGAACACAATGATTTTTTTGGTCGGCTATGAAGAATTTGTAGAGAAAGTGATGATTGTTTCCCTCCTATTTAAAAGTCATGATTTGGCATTATTCTGACCTGACAATTCTTTATAGTTCTCATCAAGAAGAACATAAATTCTCGAGTTTTAGTAAATAAAATGTTGATATTTGAAATATTCTCCGATGTTTGAAATGTATTACTGTATGTCTCATGACCGCAGGAATAGTTTTTATTTACAATGATGTTTAGTATGATAAAAGAATCTTACCCATAAAATATGTGAAATCCACCCTTGGTACCTTTTTAGGTTCACTATAGGAAGGTAAAAAGATGTGAAAGACATAGGTAAAAGATCTATGGTAGTAGTATGAAAAGCTTTAAGCCACCAACAAACATGGTTGATAAATAACTTTGTCATTAAACATGTAATCAGGAATTCGATCTTTCGTTGACGTATATGGAAGAATATTTGTTAGGAGAAATTAACTCCTAAAATGGATCTCAGTCAAGGGATTAATGTTATGATTCTACATCTATTGGAAGTCCCATGAGAAATATTTTTACTCTTTTATTAAAAATAAGATATAGAAAATATGCTTAGAATAAGTTTGTCACGATTTGTTAGAAATCCATTTTTGCACTCTTGTTTCCACTAGTATGTTATATAACCATTATATTGCTCTAGTAAAAAGGGAGAAGAATTAATCAAAGATTTTTGTTTCTATTCACTTTCCTCCTTAATTTCTTAGGAGTTCTTTCTTACTCGAAAAGGGTTCATAACATTGGTGCTTTCTTTTTTGATCTCCTCCCCACTTAATTGAGGTCAAAAAATGGAGATTTCTGTGTTTGATGGAGCTAAAGATGCTTATTGGTGGAATCCATGCACTGAGAAATATTTTAGAGCAAGGGGAACACTAGAGGCAGGGAAGCTATCGAAAGTTGTGGCAACATTGATTGGTCAAGCTCTTTGATGGTGGTTATGGTGGTTTCAACGTCATCCACAAACAAGTTAGGAACCTTTCACTATCGCCTTTCTTTGGTGCCGAAATATAGGGACATTCTTCTAATCTTTGATGATGAAGAGAAGACCACAGACTAGATTGAGGCATTCTGGTGAACAACTTGTTATTGTTGAGATGATAAACCATTTCCCATCATCAAGGGAGGTCAGCTACTAAGAGCCACTTAATAACCAAGTATTTTTAAATGAAAATTACTAAACCCCTTTATGTTAGTCTCACTTCCAGATTCTTTTCACAAAAGTTTTATGCTTATGAATTTCACAAAAAAAAATTCTTTAATCCAACACTATTCGTGAAAGCAATCAAAATTAAACTACACTAGTTGAATCAAGATACAGCAAATAAGATATTTACACAATTCAAATGAACTAAGCAAAACAAAAATGAAAGAATTTCAAGAAGCTAGTCGGATCCTATGTGGAAGCTTGAAGAACATATGAAATTTTCAAGCCACTTCTATAAGAACTAACTATGAGAGGTCTATTAGGAGTTAGATATACCTGACCAACTTCTTAATACTCCGTCCAAGCAATTACAAATGAATTGAAATACAAAAAATTGCAAGTAAATTTAAACTATCCTAAAACAGAATTAGTGATCGCTTTAGCGATGGAATTAGAGACGGATTTTCGTGACAAATTTTCCATCAACCAGATTTTGATCTCTAAATCCGTCTCTAATCTAGAAATTTCTTTTTTTCCTCTTAACTTGCACAAATGAGAAAAAAATTCAAAGAAATTAGTGGCTCCTCACAATGATGAAGTTGAGATCACTCTTGTGAAGGAAATTTAGGAGGCTAGAACAAATTTTGGTCAAATTTCTTTCAAGTCCACTTGTCTTAGAATTAGCAATCATTTCTTTCTAATTTTTGTGAGTCAATGTTTGAACTTCTTGCAAGAGTTTGGTACCACTTCCAGCACTGGAATTTTTATGAATTGAAAACTTGACAAAACCAAAATGAAATTAGCAAGCTTATACTAAAAAGAGTAGATGAAATTTGACAAAACTCAAAGATAACCAATAAAGACACCAAAACTAGAAACTAAGACTCGCAAAGAAATGCTAACACTCAAATAGGAAGGTCCTAGAAAGGCTCTAGAGTATATTAAGAAAACCAAAATAATTTGAAGAAATCACAAAGAATTGATTCTAGTTGCTAGATCCAACACTTGGTGAATTTTGGTTTCTATTTCTTCCTTTTACTCTTCTTGGCTTTTCCAATTTTCTTTTTGAATTTTCTTTTTTTAAAATTTGTTTTTCTATTTGGAATGCAACTTCAGAGAAGTTCACTACCTTTTATCACAAAATGTTCACACACCAAATTACTCAAGCAATCAGATCTAAAATTTTCAGCAACTTCAAGTGAAAATCTAAGTCTAGTGCACTAGTAATGGTTCTTAGCTTTGGCTCTTTTTGTATTGTTTCTTTTCTTTCTTCTAAATCAATTGACTTCAATTTTTCTCTGTTTTTCCTCTGTTTTCCAGGCACAAATATTTCAAGAATCAAAGCCAATTCAAGAGATGCACTAGAATTAGAAATCACAATTGTAAAAATTACTAGAATTGCTTAAACTTTTTGGAGGCAAATTTGAATTTGAAAACTTACAAAGACATAATGGAAACCTAACTCTAAGAATCCATCAATGATCTAGTAATGGACATGAACTCAAGCATGTAAAATGAAAAGGCACCAATGCACCACAACAATGATAAGTCTTGGCCAAACTTCAAAGTATTCAAACAATTTTCAAAACTAGATCAACTAAGCACATCTTGAATTTCTTTGACATTATAAAGACTACACATGACTCTAGCCAACTTTTAATGATTCAAAATTCAAAAATAACATACAATTAGACTCAAATGACCGAATCAAGCAAATCAAAATAGAAGAAGACTCAAACAAATCAAAATTGGCACAAGTATATTCCTAGACACAAATGTGATTGTGGATTGAACAAAAAATGCAACCACACCTCTTGGATCTATCAAAAAGTTTTCCAAAAATTAGATCCAAATAAGGAAACTTCAAAGTGACAATTAAGAACACAACTTCCAGAATTTCAATCGTGAAAAGAGTCACCTAACCTCAAGGACTTCAACCATGCTCTAGATACCAAAAATGATGGAGTGAGGGAGATGAAGTGATTGGTGATCTTCCCTTGCCTTACTCCTTCAACACAATCTTCGTCCTTGATCAACAATTTTGGAGAAAGTAGCTAGCAATGGACACAGATTTAGATGGAATCTAAATCAAGAAGGAAGCACTCAAGCAAAGGAGCTCAAATGATTGCTCACGGATGGCCTTAGAACTCTAGGATTCCTAAAGCTAAGCCAATGAACAAGGTGACCTTTGGGAGACAAATTGGCTGAAAAATGAATTCAGATTTCTCATATATCAAAAGTGAATAAAAAATGTGAGGAAGTGAACATTTATAGGCCACAGATCAAGCAATTTGGTGCCAACCAATGGATGTAGCCTTTGGTGCCGAAAATTTGAATTCAAAATGCATTTGAATTTAAATTTCTCAGCCAAGTCATCTGACTGATCCAAAATGCATCTTAATTGCATTTGGATATAATTTAGGGTTGATTTGCTTAGTGATATGTAGCCACCCTTGGCTCAAAACATGTGACTCAAATACAACTCAAATTACCTCTAAATGTAATATAGATTCTAGTATCCATGCCTATTTATTTTTTCCCCTATTGTCCTATTCTAATGGCCTAAATACAACGGCCTATGAAATATAAACAATGAAAAATAATAAAAGAAACAAAATAAGTCCCATATTGAGTACCAAAATATCCAAGGCCCATGAAGCTCAAAAACAGGCCCATGAAGCATAAAGCCTAAACACCCTATTCTAAATGGTCCAAAATACAAGACCAAGAAATGAAAATCCTATGCTACACATTAGAGACAATAATATGGTGGTCACTGTAAAGCCCATGTGAAAAGTACCTTGGGCCCACCAAGTCCATTGGGCCCACCAAGCTCTAAAGCAATCAAATCCTCATTTAATCTCCTGGCCATAGCTCTAGTGGTGAGACCCTTGGTCCATGCTCTTCTATCAGATGGAGACCATGCATTCATGTATAATTTGTTTGGAAGTGGGTGCAAGTCTATGTGAGAAGGTCTTTATAGTCTTCTACCTTGATCCCGATGGTGCTATAATGAGAATCCCCTGGATAAGCGACAAAGATGTGTAGCTCTAATACCTTGACCAACTCTTATAGATTTAGTTCTAGTGAGATTGGACCACGTGTTAGCTAGGGGTGTGCAAAAAAAAAATGAACCAGTTTAAATTTGAAACTGAACCACACCACTTAAAATAAAAAATAAAAATAAAAAAACATAACCAATTTGAATAAAACCAAAATGTATAGTTTCATAAAATGGATTTTAAATACCGAACTACATTGGTAACCAAAAACTGAACCGTAACCACTTTTAAATAATAAAATAAAATTAAAAAAAAATTACTTATGTCTTTCATACGTATCTCGTGATTTAATAATTTATAGTATCACATAAAATGTTTTAATATTGTTTACAATTATTGTATTTTTTATTTTTTTATTTTTTATTTTTTTTTATAACTTTTTTATTATCTTTAAATTATCAAAGTAAATGTTAATTATCAAATTATGTTTCATAATTACTTATAGTTTTTCAATGCTTTTGAGTTAACCTCTGTAGGTCCATATGCGTAAACATTTTTTTTTTAATTTTTTAATAAATAAATATTTTTCTACCTTTTATGATTTGTTTGTCTACTTAATTAATTCTTGAGTTAAATATCTAACAAGTAATTTTTTTTAACTTATCTCTAAAGAGTGCATTAATCATGATTTTGCTCACAATTTGAAAGAAAAAAAAATATTTTTTTTCCAAGGAAATCAGTTTAAAACTGATTCAATTCTTAAAACTAGTTCGAAATTGGTTTGCTTTTAAACTTGTTCATAAAAGTAATTTGATTCTAAACCGATTAATTAATATTGTTTAAATGATTCATATATCAATTTACTTTAATAAAAT